GATTGAGATACAACTACCATCATGGTTACCTAAACTTTCTTCCACTTTTCAATTTATTAAGTTGCTGTTATCATCAGTGATCATTTTGCACATCTTTTTAACCTTATTTCCTTTCAAATCTTACGTCATGTAATATATTTTTTGTTTACATGGTGTCATTTTTATCATTTTACTTACTGCCCTGTTTTTTTAAGTGTGTGAAAGTAACTGTGCCCACCCAAACACCATCTTTTTGTACATTGTTGTATGTATTTTTATCTAATCTTATGGCAGTGCAAGCAACTAGACTAGGGAATCTCTTTACACCACACTTTCTATAAAATATTATGTGTTCTTGTTTCACTAAATCTATATGACAATATACATGTAGTTTAGTGAAAAATGCTGCAGTGTTTCTTGGGAGGTGGGTACAGTGCTTCTGCCTGTGTGTTTCTGAGGCCGTATTGCAGCACAGGGCTTTATGTTGGGTGACCGGAACCAGCTGAAACCGGTTTGAGGCAGACGGAGGGCTGACAGGAACAATGCCGTCTCTGTGCTCCACTGAGGGATAGAGATAGCCCAGGCTACTCCATGGCAGCCCTTCACAGCTCAGCCACTGGCTACCATGGCACAGGCAGAGACCCTGCTGCTGCTCACTGCTGGCTGGATGTCGGTGTGCTACGCAGCTGCTCCCCTGCTCACAGCGAGGGGAGCAGGGAGATTTGGGAAGGGACGAGGGCAGGGGGACGTGGCCGGCTGGGAGTCTGTGAATCTGAAGCCTAGAGCCTGCCTCTCACACGCACACGCACACACACACACACACACACACACACACACACACACACACACAGGAGCATGATCTATCTGTCTGTTTGCATGTCTGTGTGCTGCTAGTGGTGCAGAGAATGACTAAGGAGGATCCTTACCAGGACCACCACCACTCACCAGATCCATGGATGTAACCTGACCCTGTATTCTGGGCCTTTGCCTGGTTGGGAAGAAACAGGACTTTTTTTCCAGGCAGGGTGGGGTGGATGGCTTTTTATGGGTTAGTAGTGTTGTGACTGTGTTTGTTGCAGGATGGAAGGAAGGAAGTAAAGAAGGTTTGGCTAGTGGCTGGAGAGGGACGGAGGCAAGAGGGTGAGGAGTGGCTGATTCACTTGCATGTTTCCACTATTGTTATTTTCCATTCACTTTACTGATATTGTAGTAGTCTTTCACACAGAGTGTGGATTTCAGTGCATGTGCATTAAAACTGCTGTTGCTAAGAGGGGGTTCTGTGTTGTGTATTTTTCATATTTGTCTGTCTTTAACCTTCATTTACTTCCTACGTCAGGCTGCTCTGGCTGTCATGGCTGTGACTAGCTCTTCTTTCCACCAGGCCTTTCTCTCTCTGCTGCAGCTTCACACAGCTCAGCAGCCATTTTTCCCCCCTCACTGCATTTCTCGTCTGCCCTCCCTCTAACATTTCTCCCTCTCTCCATCACATTTTTATGCTTACTTCATCACTTTACCGCTCCTATCATCTGGATTGAGAATGGTTACATTTTGAAACCTAGGTTGAGGCTAAGGGATTTGGTTCTGTGTATGTGCAGATGTGGTTGCCATGCATTTGGATCAAAGAGCAGCAATTATTTAACTGCACATACAAGCAGTACAGCTCCATGGCTGTCTTTTGTCCCCAACACCATTAATAGATACAGACATTTCAGTCCCATCATATATTATTTGTAGTGCTCACTATTAGAAAAATAAAGACTGGTTTGTTTCTGCAGAATTACAGCCCACTGAAAGCAAAGTGTTTCTTATAAAACTCATAAGACATTTTCCTTAAAGCAGTGACAAACCAGAACATGTTCTATGAACATTGGTTGTTTCTGATAAATAAACATACGTTACTTGAAAGTGATCATCTTTAGATCTTTTCAATATCGCCTTATCAAAAGCCTTGTCTTCTGCCATCATATTCATATTTACACTTCATAATGCCTTCAGCTAAAGTATTTTTCACATGTTGTATTCAGCCCCAAACCAACAGACAAGTGTCAGTCAACTAGTGAGAAAATTACTCAAATTGAAAGGACACTCATCCCCTTTGCTATATTGAGCCCATCATTCTCCTGATGTTTTATATTAGAAAATATATATTCAAGAGGAGGAACTCTTCAGTACAAATGTATTTCATTAGTACACTGGTATACTACTGTTTTATTATACTAATGCTGAGCATGTAGTGACTAAAGAGGGAAAATGATTTGCAGATTACCCACATTTAATGTCATCAAAATGTCACATACACCCCCACGAGGGCCAGCATGTGGTTCTCTCTCAAGACAATCAATAAAGTCACCTGCTGTAAGGACAAATGCGGGAGAAATAGGTGTAATTGTACATACTTGTATACACATAATGTATGTCAGCTGGACTCATTTTTTCAGGAAAGCTTTGCATCCATGTGATGCAGTTTGCTTTGAAGGGGGGGGGGGGGGGGGGGCGGTGTGGAGAGGGGGGGGGGGGGGGGGGGGGGGGGGGGGGGGGGGGGGGGGGAGGGGGGGGGGGGGGGGGGGGCAAGCACTGAGCTCAGTCTGCTAATGAAACAACAAGCACCAGAAAGCAATGACTAAGTCATGGTAAACATGGTGTTTCACAGGCTGTACTGTGGTGACAATTCAACTAAAGCTTGACTGAATGATGTTCATTTGCTAAGACCCGAGTCCACAAATTCACAGAATATAGGGAAAATATAGGTGGCTTCTTCTCAAACACCAATAAATGAAAGAAAATGTGCAAATATCCCTTTGCTGCAGCCAACCTTTTTTTTTAGAGTCAAGTAAGTTGATCTTTGTACGCTATTGTATTGCTGAAAGGGAAATAATAACGACTGAAAATTAGGCTGAAAATGAAATTGCCCACCTCTTTTTAGCATAATGTCACAATATTATAATCAAATATACACATGCAATAACATACCAGTGTACAGCTAGAAGCATTTCCGTTAACAATAAACAAAAGGCCACTTTTATGAACTCCTTGCTTTCATCTGTAATACAACGTCCATATTATTTTGTACTTTTGTGACATTTTTGAACTATAAAATTAATGCACTTAATCAGAATAGAAAAATATGATTTATCAAATCATTACTATTATTACTTTCCCCTATTTTCCTGTCGTTGCATATATTGTAGGGCTGTCCCAAACGATTATTCTTTAAACGATTAATCTAGCGATTATTTTTTCGATATTCGACTAATCTAACGATTATTTTTTTTGCACTGTTGGTGTCAAGATTAAAGTATTCCCAAACTCTGGAGGACAGTGTGCGAGCCTTTTTGCCGCGTGTTGCTCCACACGCTCCGTCGTACTGCTGGTAGACGCCGCCATGTTGTTCAAATAGATTACACAGACGCAAATCATTCACGTAGTCAATGACTTTAATTACGTCACCAAGTTGTCCCAGCCCTTGCGCTGCGCTTGTATCCGGGTAAACCAAAGATGATGGATATAAACGGTCCCATTAGAAAGTTCTGGTTTTGTTCTATGAACATTTACCCTGTGTGGTTTTACACGACGCGTCGACATTAAAATTCCACGTCGAATAATTTTTATAATCGACAACGTCGATTACGTCGGATAATCGTCCCAGCCCTAATATATTGCACTGCATATAGAGCCATAAATTAGTGCATTGTACAAATCGTCAATTGGATGTGTGAAAATCTTTTAGTTGTCATTCCTGTTCGGAAGAAAATGATGTATCTTGACTATAATCTAGTAAGTATTGCCTGTAATAGCACATCAATTACACAGACAATACATCTATTGCTCTGTGGCCAAGCTTAGCAACACTGACAACAGTATTTGAGTACATGTATTGCATTGTGCTACTTACAGAATAAAATAGTAGGCTACAGCAATTATTCTTTTATGAATAGCCTCATGGAAGAAATGTGTTTAGCAGCTGTTTCTATTACAGTCAACAGTCTGCACTCTAGTAAATATGAATGCTACAATTAATAATTTATACTGACTGGAATATACAGTACACCCCCACCCCCCATATCAAATCATCCCAGAAATTCAGTAATTTCTAACATTTAGAGAATCATTTTATGTGTTTTATGTTCTTTAATATAATAATTTATAGTTATAGTTTTATCATCCGCAATTTGTGATTTTCCCAAGGATTACAGATGTCTTCTTTGCTGACAACATATTCCCATGTCACAATCCGATTTATCATAACTCAAAAGCCAAAATAACCATGAACCGGATTATATTACAATGGCCGTAGTTTTTATTGTGCACATCTTGATGGATTCAGTGTTGATGTTCTTCCAAGTTTGGAGAGCATTACATAGAAAATAAAGAAAAATGTCACAGATTTCTCCTCTCAACATGAATTGAAGGAATGAAAATCATCATTTGAAACCAATAATGGCCTCAGGACGATGATCGTCACCATGGCTATCTGTCTATTGGCTGACAGGTCAAAAAGTTTCTAAGATCTGCAGTGAAGATTGCCATGACATTTATCGAGCATATTCATGTCTACAACTGTATGAGGCTCTCCTTCATGGAAACTATGAATAATATAATCCAAAAATATTAGACATTTCAGAGTCGATTAAGCACATTGCAATGAAACTGACTATGCATGGTCAGCCCCAAAACACAAGGGATCCGCTGTAGTACACTGTGTCAATTTGTGACCTGTTGTGCTGAACAGAAATGCATAATACCAATTTCTGTCTCTTCTGTTATTATCCCATACAGCACAATATGTTGCAGCAGCAATAATACAAACATGATTACATTAAATTATCTTTTTCCTCACATAATTATGCTGTATTGTAATTTATTTAAAATTATCACATACATTAACTATTAGATAAAGACAGTATGAAGAGTTTCACTTCAAAATGTGACACCTTGAACAGCCTGTTATATTGTATATTACGTTATTAATTACCCTTCAATCTGTGCTCCCCAGGTGATCTCATCAGAACAGGAGCAGGACCATGGGAGATATGAAGACGCCAGACTTCGATGACCTGCTGGCGGCCTTTGATATCCCCGACATGGTGGATCCTAAAGCTGCTATTGAATCTGGTCACCATGACGACCACAATGGACAGCTCAAGCAACCCAGTGCTGGGTTGACTACCAATGAAGATGTGGCCCACAACACCTCAACAGGACACGATGTTGGCGTTAGTGTCATTGTCAAGAACATCCGAAACACAGACACAACAGAGCATGGTGGAACCATATCAGACAGGGATGGACATTTCCACTCCCATCCTCAACATCATTCTGTAAGCACTTGCAATGGACTTCAAAATGGCTTCTTGCCATGTGGCATACCACATGGTTCTCACACCAAGAATGGATCGAAGGGTCCCAGGGAGGAAGGACAGCCAGTGAACAACCAATCATCTACTTTCAATCAGTTCAGCCCCATCTCCAGTGCTGAGGAGTTTGATGATGATGATAAAATTGAGGTAGACGACCCCATGGACAAGCAGGTTGGTCAGACATTCTTTAGGTCCACTACTAAGAGAGAGGACCCGAATCCCAAATCTCCGGTATCAGTGGACAATGCATCCAAGCTCAGAGCAAACAGAGACCAAAAACACGATCAAAACAACAATAATAATAATGGCACACTAGGAGGTTCCAAGTCTAACAATTCCCCTCCGTCAAGTTTACCCAAGGAGGAACTCAAGGAAATTCTCTTTAAGTCTCAAGGTCAGGAGCGCAAGGAGGCTGAAGAGTCATCAGGGCTTGTTAATGTGTCCAGTATCCCCCAGGTCAAAGCCAAGTCCTCTGCAAAACTTTCTTCTTGTATTGCAGCCATAGCAGCCCTCAGTGCAAAAAAGGCTAATGCTACAGACTTGACTGTTTTGGATTTTCCAACAACACAGAAAGTATCCATCAAAGCCAATGAAAATCCCAGAGCTCCAGAGAAGCCACAGGAGCACGAGTCAGCCCTAGAATTTGCAAAGAGGCTCCTAACGAGACCACAAGACAGCCCCTGTAGTGTCACCAGTGAGGGCAGTAGCAAAGGTTCCCCTGCCTCAAGTACAGAGACAACCCCAGTCATCCCAAAGGTCAGGATCAAAACAATCAAGACCTCATCCGGACAGATCAAGCGTACTGTCACCCGAGTTCTCCCAGAGTTTGATCCTGAGGGTCTGAAAAGAGGAGAGAATAGCCCATCTCTCATGGCAACCACCAGTGCAATTTTCTCATCTCCCACGAGACCCTCTTTGCCAACCACAGTAGTAGCCACCACTGGAGGGTCTTCAATTGAAATAACCAAGCAAATGACTATTAAACCTGTAGCGACAGCTTTCCTGCCAGTCTCCGCAGTCAAGACAGCTGGGTCGCAAGTCATCAACCTTAAGCTGGCTAACAACACCACAGTCAAAGCAACAGTAATCCCTGCTGCATCAGTCCAAAGTGCCAGCAGTGCCATCTTGAAAGCTGCTAATGCCATCCAGCAACAGACTGTCATGGTACCTGCCTCCAGTCTGGCCAATGCCAAACTTGTGCCAAAGACAGTCCATCTTAGTAACCTCAACCTTCTGCCTCAGACTGTATCCTCTGCTGCATGTGATCTCCAACAGGCCCTATCATCCTCCAAACAGAGCCAGCAACAATCACAAGTCAAACAGCAGACAATTCTTACTGGCCAGGCCTCAAAGAAAATCTCTAGGGTTCAAGTGTTCACAAGCTCTCAAAGCTCTGTAGTGGACGCCTTCAATAAAGTCCTGAGTAGCATAAATCCTGTCCCTGTGTACGTCCCAAACCTCTCTCCGCCAACCTCAGCCTGTATCTCTTTACCCTCACGTGGCTACAAGTGCCTGGAGTGTGGAGATTCATTTGCTCTTGAGAAGAGCCTGACACAGCACTATGAACGTCGCAGTGTGCGGATCGAGGTCACCTGCAATCACTGTGCCAAAAGTCTAGTGTTCTACAACAAATGCAGCCTCTTGTCTCATGCCAGGGGCCACAAGGACAAAGGGGTTGTCATGCAGTGCTCCCATCTAATCCTAAAACCCATCCCTGCAGACCAGATGATAAACACATCATCATCAGGCCCAGCAAACATCACCGGTGCCACCTCCATTTCCCAATCCCATGCACCCACAAGTCAAATCCAAGGGAAAGGTGCTCTCAGTGGGTCCCATACTGCAGTGATTTCAGCTCCATGCAGTGCTCCTCTTGTGGCAGCCATGCCCTTAGAGGATGATGCATCAAAGCTCTGCAGGCACAGCCTAAAATGCTTGGAATGTAATGAAGTGTTCCAGGACGACAGCTCGCTAGCCATGCACTATCAACAGGCACCAGAGTCCAGTGGGCAGGTGTGTGTATGTATGTGTGGTGTGAACTGTAACACAATATGGTTCAATTTAGTTACAGTCAGTTATCTGCTACACGGTGCGATTTAACTTAACTTAATCCTGACGAAACTGATTTCATTTTTGGCCACTTGGGGGCATTAACATAACCTTATTAAGTTATTATTGAGAAAGTGTTGGCAATTGTCTCTTTACACATCACAGCAGTTATATAGAAACATGATACCAAATGAATCCAAATGTTGTTAACACCTGGCAAATTTAAGTACTTTTTAGCTCTGTTTTTGGTCCTCACAAACTCCTGAGGGAAACATTGGGCTTTTTAGTAGCTGAATGATCGACTACATTCACCAGCTCGTCACTAACTGTGTCTGTCTGTTGTTTGGTGCTGAGGAGGTAGTATACAGAGGGTTTTTTGAGCGTTTTCACTGAAAATAGGTGCCTGCTGCAGAACAGAACTGTACTATGACAGCAGTGAGAGCCAACCAAAACAGTAAAGTCGTGGGAGATACATTGTTATTGTAAAACTATTGATTATAGCCACTTTAAGTTAAAGGGTCCATTCACTCAAATCACATGATGCATCACTTACTTCTTGTGTTACTAGTTTTATTTGCCAAGGTTTCTATACTTCTCTGACGCAGTACATAACCTAGTTTTATTTGGACTGTTCAATAATACAAAGTAAGTAAAGAAAACCATTCAGAATGAGGACTGTGCATTATCCCAAGTATCTTCTTTCTGTAAATACATGTTGATGTCTTTTGAGTTTGTCAAATATAATTTTTTACATCTCTGGCAAATAAATTGACAAAGGTTTCACAAAGGTAGACATCACAAGTGAGAACCATTTACTCTGTATTGAGAAATGGATAATACTACCCTTCATGTAAAATAGGTTAACACTTGAGGATACAATCATTTCAGTGCCATAATAAAACACACCTGATGATATCTTTTATCTTCTCTTTCCTGTGCCCATAGAAAACATGCGCTATTTGCCAAATGCTTCTCCCAAATCAGTGCAGTTTTCTGTCACATCAGCGAATCCACCAGCACAAGTCTCCTTATATCTGCCCCGAGTGTGGTGCCAGCTGCCGATCTGTCCACTTCCAGTCACATGTCACCAAGAACTGCCTGCATTACACCCGGAGAGTCGGCTACCGGTCAGTCTACCTTAACTAAAATCATAAAATTATTAATAGGCATTTTAGCCCTCTATTGTACTGTGAGATATAGTTCCCAAAGTTTACATTCAACTTTAATTTTCAAAGTATTTCTTCTGTTAAGACTTTGATTTCTTTTGGATAGTAAAATCTGAAAAACAAATACAGTGTTTACTATTGAGAAGTGTTCTTCTTTGGAAAGTGGTCATACCCTGACTTAAATGGCTCTTGCTGTTCTTTCAAAGCGCCATTTACAATGTCATTTCTAATTACACTTATTAGTACATTATCTTTGCCTCAGCTTGACAATGCCATATCACTTGATGTGACGTTATTCACAAAGAAACTTATGAGGAAAAATAGACAGTCACAATTTACAAGCCATTAAAAGCTGAACACTCAGTATCTGACCAATTATGGTTCAATTATGAGTCTTGTATTTCAAAATACTATGAATTGGAGACTGTCTGGATATCAATAACGACTCAACAAAGTCACAAATGTAACTTTGCACGCACACATACTTGCGTACCTTTTTCTGATGAATGAGTTGCGCCGACTTGTACTAATTTAAAATCTCATTTAAGTCTGACTGTCTAACTCTTACTTCTTCTCCCTCTGTCCTCTGTGTCCATTCCTTCTCCCTCCAGCTGTATACACTGTAGTGTGATCTTCGCTGATGTTGCAACTCTAAAGTCCCACATCCAGAGTACTCACTGTGAGATCTTCTATAAATGTCCTCTCTGCCCTATGGCCTTCAAGTCTGCGCCTGGCACACACTCCCATGCATATACACAGCATCCAGGAATGAAGGCAGGAGAGCCTAAGTAGGTCTTTACATGAAAACTGTGATGTATATAAAATGTTCTTCGAAAGCAAATCTGTTTTAGTTTTATGTAACATTAAAGACAGCATTCAGCAAAGTCCATCACAATTATTGTTTTAAGTATACACTTTCAAGCACTCAAAACTGAATTCAATGCTAAATAAAAATCTATAAATATTTAAATTAAAATAATAGTACCGGCATAATACACAAACATTTCCTCAAAAAGATTCCAACCTCACATTTATACTTCCACACACTTCCTTTCACACAGGCACACACCATTGTAACCCAATACCCATGTCCAATTAATTTTTCTTAGGAAGATCATCCTTGCTGCCTCATCAGTAGCAGGATTTGTGGGTGTTAGACATGGTGGCTTAACTTGGTTTTGTTTTTCCACATGGCAACTTCTCACTGACTTGCATACTGTCCATCATCAGCACTATTGACGATTCAGGTGTTTAGGAACAGGTGTTCTTGGGTTTGGCCCTGGTTGTGCCCAAAGCCTAAAGCTGAATTCATATGATGTCAAACTGAACTGAACCATCTATTTTAATATGTTTAATTATTTGTTCATATCCTGATCTAAAACTATCAAAAAGTTTGTTTCCAGATAGACATTAGGTGCAAGAAAACAACTGCAGCTGAACAGCTTTACGTGAAACCTATAACACAGCAGCTCTGATTCTCTAAACACTTATTTCTCTTATTACACATTGAGTCTCTTACCTTTTGCTGTAAACTTTTTAAGAACACTGTTTTTTTCCTGTCTTTCAGGATGATCTATAAGTGCTCCATGTGTGATACCGTGTTCACTCTGCAGTCCCTGCTCTACACACACTTCGACCAGCACGTTGTCAATCATAAAGTTTCAGTGTTCAAATGCCCCGACTGCTCCATGCACTACGCGCAGAAACAGCTCATGTTGGACCATATCAAAGTAGGCATAAAAAGCTGTTATTTTAAGCATGCTTGATCATCATCCACTTTTTATGCATCCCAAGTTAGTTTATTAATGAGTTTGTTTTTAACATTATCATTAACCCCATTGCTGTGACTTAATGAATATATGTGTACACAGCAATACTATTTTTATTTAAATTTTCAAAGCCAATCCTGTGAGTTATACTTATATACTAATAAGTTCAGCCTAGAAATGTTTCTCATATCAGTGCTTTATAAATTATAATTCATTCTGTATGTGCGGATCCTTTCCAGGCCATCCATGGAACCTTAAAGACCATCGAGGGTCCACCAAACTTGGGCATCAACCTTCCTCTCAGCACCAAGCCCACTAATTCTAGCAATACCAACAGCAACAGCCCCAGTAATAATAACAACAAGGATGGAGGAAATGTCAATAGTCAGGACAAGGGAGAAAAGAAGTCTCCACCCTCACCACTGAAGAAAACCAACACTAACTGCTCAGCTGACCTCAAGAACCCTCCCAGCTCAGGATATACATGTGGAGACTGCAATACCCTCTTCAGTTCAAAAGAGGTCTTTGTGGCTCATATGAGGCGCGAACATGGAAAGGTGAGTTTTCAATTTGTCACATTGTCTTTTTTTGAGATTCTGCTAGAGGTTGTCAGGGAACGGGTTTGAAACAGAGACAAAAACAAACTTACTAAATACATAAATAAACTGTCACACGAATGTATCCAAGCCACCTTGGTGCACGTTCACACACGTGCATCCTGGAGAAGCATAATTTGAGCTGTTGAAGCATGTGTTTCTGTATTTTATGCATTCTCCCACTCATATTACAGATCTTGAAGAAGCACCCATGTCGACAGTGCGACAAGTCCTTCAGCTCTTCCCACAGTCTTTGCCGACACAACCGTCTCAAACACAAGGGATTGAGGAAGGTCTACACCTGCCCGTGAGTATACACTCTGATCTGTAAGGGCTCAGCATGGTCCCAAAGCACATCTGCACGGTGTGCGAACAATTAATGTGTAGCCTGTAACTGTGCAAGTCACACTCTTGTCTGTGCAGGAGTTACCAATGTAATTGATGGAAGCAGGAAACTTGCCCTCCATTCTTGTCTTTAAAAATACATTGGCTGCCAAGGAGGCAGAAGAAGAAGTGTTTGGCTTAGGTGTACCATAAATTAATGCGCCAGTCTTCACAGTTGGCGCGGCCTCAGACCAGTGTTTCAAATTCTAAAAGGCATAACTGGGTTTGTGCACCAGCCGTAATTATACAGTGTAGAAGAGCAGCAGCAGAAGCTTTGGTTCTCCATCTGTGTCTACACAGGAGGCATTTAGGCACAGTATTTATTATAGGTCACCAATGTTTTGACAGCCCAATACATCGCTGTAGTTGCACGCAATAAAACAAAAAAAACATACTTGAAGGGTAAAAATATGCTACTTCCATGGATTACAATTCAAAGCAAAATAATAAACAACAGTCTTTGATAAAAATGAAAAGTGCAGGCAAATTGTATGTATGCAAATAACAGAACACAAAATCAGCTTGTAAGGGGTTAAAATTGTTGTTGTTGTGATTTTACTGTACTTTGATAGGCACTGTCCAGCTCTCAGTCAGCCATTCACTAAAAGAGTGCTGCTGGATCAGCACATTCAGCTGATGCATGGAGTCAAAGACCCAGAGGGGAAGACTGTCAACTCTGAGGCTTTACCTGACAAGGAAACGGTACTGTGGCACAAATTTGCAGACATACAGTCATTTATCAGAAGGAAGTGCTTCTTTTGAATCATTTTACCTAATAAGTGAATTTCATGATGCTCCTGTCACACCTAATCTAACGTCTCAATGACCTCTACAGACCCCCAGCCCAAAAAGAAAGCCAGAAGAGGATGAGGCGTCTCCAGGTTTGAACTCCAGGGGCTCAGACTCACAGCCTTTGAAGAGGCTCAAGGTGAACATTCCCAAAGTTCATAAGTGTGCTGTTTGCAGTTTCACCACTGAGGACATCGCTGCTTTCCACAAACACATTCCCCAGCACAAGTCAGATGGCTCGTCCTACCAGTGTCAGGAGTGTGGCCTGTGCTACACCTCCCACCGCTCGCTGGCCCGACACCTCTTTATCGTCCATCGGCTGAAGGAGCCACAGGGTCTCGCCCGATACAACGGACGGGGAAAGGATGATGATGAGAGTCAAAGGGAGAACCAGCTGGAAGTTACGGACGAGAACAATGATGGGACCCCAAATACCAAATGCAAAGTGTGTGGGAAGATGTTTGAAACTGAGGGAAACCTGAATACTCACATGAGGACACATGGAATGGCGTTCATAAAGTCAAAGAGACTGAGCGCAGCCGAGAAGTGAGAAGAACTCACTTTTTAACCTTTCCATCTAAAGCAGCACTGTTGTTTTAAACTTATATAGTTTGTTAAATTGTTGCAGACAACTTACAGTATCTCTCTTGGCTGTGGTTATGCTGTATATACAAAATGTACATGTAGCATACTACAACATGTATAAAATATACACACAAAAATATGTAATATGTCAAATTCACTGTCTTAAAGTAAATGGAACAAGATACTTTTTTGTACACACATAGATGTTTCTATAGGCCTTGAATAGACCTTTTTTATAGAAGAGCTTTTTATTTTAAACAGTTTCCATTGTCTTCTCACTAGGATTAGATGACGTATGGATATATTAGTGTAATGGGATTAATCCTCAGATAGTCAGCAGTGTTCTGAATTCTCAATGCTGCTAATGTCCAATGAATGTCTGGTGGGGAAATATTGAAAACTTTGGGAGATCCAGGTTTCCCCAGTATATGTCACACCTAACTAAGGTCTTCAATTTCAGCGTTCTTCATGTTTTAATTTCTAATTTCATGGACATGTAATATCTCTCTTAGAGCATTTTTCTTGGCTTCAACAATAAAACCCTGGTCTCCTCCTAACACACCCTGAAACAACTAATCCTAAAACTAAATCTCTGCATTAATTTTGAGCTACAATTACATGGAATATCAGCAGGTTTCAGGACAATCACTCAAAGATAAAGCCTATCTTCGTCTATCTGCATTTCCATACAACCTTGAAATATAATATAATTTGCATATCAGATACGTACATATAGTTCATACAACAAAACCTCTGAAAATGGATGGAGTTTAATGCTCAGTTTTGTGGAAGAATATGTTGAACATTAAATATCAGAAACAGGTGTCTTTTGAAGACCAACACATGGGCCAAATTTGAATTTGCTTTTAATAATGTATTTTGTAAAAGGCTGTGAAACTTTGTATGGTGATGTTTCATTCCTGTCTTAAAGTACTGTAAATGGCAGCTCTTTTAGATTACAACTTATTTACCTAAATATTTAAAATATAAAATACAAAGCACTTGTCTCTCTTTTAAGCGCAGTCTTCTTTATATCATAGTTCCTCTGTCATTATTGCGCAATAAAAATACAATTCTAACGATCCTGTATTTCATAACGAATATCAACATTATCAATTTCTGTCTTTTTGTTTCCTTCCTACGGTTCTTCAGTTTGTGGTTCTTTGATTTATTTTGAAATCATAATGAATGTTATTTGACAGTATTATGTTGATAAAAATATAAAAACTGAAGAAAAACCTCTTCGAATGTAAACTTGGCTGTGAGACTAAATTTTTTATACAGGACAACCTGTTCATGTAAATGAACATAACTTTGGCAGTTGTGACAATACAGAGTGCTTTACATTGCTTTCTTTGTTCCAAGCACTTCCAAAAATCATCATCATTCACTTTTGACCAGTAGTTTTTTCTACTCAGACAATAAGACTAATTGTCTCGCGCTGTAAAACTGCATGTGAGAATCAGTCTGTGAATTGTTTGTTGATTAGAATGTGTCTTGCTGCTGCTGCTGCTGCTGCTGCTGCTGCTGCTGTTTTTAGACATTTCTGATGCTTGTGTACAAAGCTGTTCTTTATGTCAATAAATGATGAAACCTGCCAGGGATGAGATCTGATGTCGACTGCACATAAGACATCAGCTCTTCTCTATGGAAATATATCAGAAATCCTCTTGTGATCATTCATTCTTGTCATCATTATTACTATTAAGTCCAAATGCTGGATTTTTCTAACGGGTGTTTTGAGATGCAATTGTCCTGCAATGTACTAAATATTAAGTATTAGTTTCATATGAACAAATAGACTTTCACAAAGCCCTCTCTTTTGAATGACAAATCTTGAGTAGTATTAAATGTCACACAACTTCAACCAAACACTAAATGCCTTAGATGCAACAGAAAATATATTTTGAAAGAAACATAATACCTCCCAAATTAAATTTCTTCACAACAAGGAAGTGTTTTTCATGAATGCATCAGAAAATTTGCAAAACGACAATGTATTTCATGTGTTTTTCCCACGGTATCCATTTGTGGCAGCTAAAGCATGAGTGATGTTGTTTTGTTCTGGCAACTTGAAGCATCTAGTTGAGCTTAAAAAAAAACACAGTGGCTTACTAAATACTGAAATGGTCAATATTTGAATTGAAGCGTGGAACAGGAAATGTTTGCTTTTTTAAATATTTAACCAAAAGCACAGTTCTTCCCTATTCTTAAAGCTGTACTATAAATAATTTATCGTAACGATGGATCAAATGACTATACATAATGTGATCAGGGATACTCATCGTGAAGAATCGACAGAAAATTATCATCCCCCTCTTGGAGCATTTTTTGTCTTTCAGCTCATTATTTTGGTTTTACTGCCCACAGCTTTATTGTTTTGCTTCACTCTCACTGCTCTCACTGACATGAGAAAGCTCTGATAAAACCCCTCTATGCTACCTGCCCAGCACCAAACAGCAGACAGATCTGAGCACACAGACATGATACATAATAGTTTTAGACTGAGTGCAACTCACACTTTCTAAGGACATTGTTATCTCTGATGTCCATTCTGAATAAATGTAATCTATAAATAGATAAACCTGCTTGGAAGGCATAGAAAAAAAAGACCTGTCTACTAACTTCAGTTGTATCAAAGTAATCCATTGACAGCTGTCTGTGCATCTATGGGTAACCTGCAAACTGGAACTGCTAACAGCTAATTCGGCGCAGGTATAATGTTACCTGCCTGCCAAAATGCAAACAATGACACAATTTGGTCTGTGGGTGTAATAGAAAGCTTAAAAGGAGAAAGAATAGTCAACTAACATTTTTCAGATCACCTGAAACACTCAAATTAATGATAATACTGCTCTGTGTATCCAGGATTACTAAGCAGGCAACTGTTTTGCTATAAGAACCATTTAACCTTTATAACATTATAATATGTAAATGGAATTTGTAGAGACAGCTATTTGTTCAGTGTGTGTTACCAACAGGACCTCGGCAGTTAGAGTTACGATTGTTGTTTTCAACAACAGGCAAAAAAACAATGATAAAACTTTGACCTCTTTACTTTGTTTCTGATATGATGCTACTCTGTATGAGGCAAACTTTACAAAATGTCACGTTCTCACTGTGGAGTAAAATGACTCATGTACAGTACATCTAATGTTTAAAAGCGTATCTCCTCTTTCTAGCATGAGCCCAAAAATAATAACTGATTTGACCGTAACGGCATCACACTAAATTTGAATTAAACTAAATTTTTAAAGATTGTTTCCCCCAGCCTGTAGCCTGGTAAAGCCATGGCACTCTGTGTAGGTTTTTAGGACAAGCTCTCCCTCTAGTGGCCAGATTTGGTTTACTTAATTTCATATTGGACTTTTTGTGTTCCTTTTTAGATAATTGGCTCTAATAACAAATTCAGTAGATGAGGGTTTTTTTTTTTTTTTATAGATGAGTCATTTATTCCTGTCCAAAACAAATTACCAGCAATTGGCTGGTTGATCACACCAAACCAGAGTAGAGCAGTCTCTGTGGTTATTTAAGGCTACTCAAAATGGCTATACAACTTCTATATATGATAAAGTCGTTAAAAAGAAAACTAGGCTATGGTAAAACATCTGTTGTCCCTACTACAACCCTACACGCGCTTCTATTTTAAGTGTAGCCATCATTATTAGGCGTACACTCCAATTAAGTTGATTTTGCATGGTGACATAATCACAAAGCCTGGATCTTTTCGTTAGCCTCCTCATGTAACCCAATCCTGTTCACACCTGATGTAGAAAACCAGGTGAGGACGATGCACAGTTGCAAAAGCAGTTTTTCAATTTAGCCTGTGAAAGATGATTTCATGCTGGCTTATTGATGATGACAAGTCCCCTTCTGTGTTATTTAAACACTTCTCTACAAAAATACACAGTCAGTCCTGAAATGGCCCTGGGTTGTGTGATTTTCTGTCTGTTTGCAGGGTTTAGTTTAGCACTGGAAAATAAGCAAGTCTTGACTGTGCCTCAAAGATGTGAAGAGGATACCAACACTTTTCTCTGGGAAATTAACCAGGAGTCACCAAAGGAATATGCTGTTCTCAGTAAGTTTTGCTGCCTTTTTCTTATGTAAATTTGCAGTCAGCTTGGAGCACTGAGCCAAGACAAAGAGGCCATTTAAAGAAATAAATTATTAATAAAAAGCACACCAAAAGTATTAATGCATGTATCCAATACATGGCTTGCATGCTCTTAATGTTTGGTGTATGCCTACAAAAAAACTCCAGTATTGTAGTTACCTGACAATGCTAATTGTACCAAGGATATTTAAAGAATTGCAATCATTAAATCTTTTTTGCTGTTGTTTCTATTCTATAATATTTATTATTAATGTATTTTTTTTTTTTAAATTCATTTACTTTTTTACTATATTGTTCTATATTTTAGTCCTTTTTAAAAACATACTTTAATATTTAAACTTTCTGTCTGAAGTTTGAAAATAGATATGTTACTATCAGTAGTATTAGTATTAGCATTAGTAGCCTAGTAGTATTAGTATGAGTAAGCAGCATATCTTTAACAGAAATTAAACAAGTTCTCCCAAGAAACTATGAGAACTTCTGCACAGTTTCACAAATCTCACATACACAATCAATAGGTGACTGACCCACGTGAAAATGCAAAACTGGAGAAACTGTGAGTCACTCAAAGCCCCTGTAGGCTTTGTCCCTGCAGTGTGACGCTATCCCAACAGCTTCAATGTCCAGGTAAATAAGGGTAGGGTACATAATATGACCTCAATTACATCAACCGCACAGCAATACATTACAGACATTCATGTAAACATTGAACCATCATGGGGTAAACTCAGAGAAAGAGACTGAGAGAGAAGGGTGTATCTGACTCACCTTATTTGATGTTTTCTTTTACTCAAAGTGATGCAGTCCCTGTTGAAGGTTCATGTCCCACTGCACTTTTTGCTGAGATGGTCATTTGAGTTTTTGCTTGCGGAACGCCTTCACCTGTGCTCGCTGCTAGCTAGACAAACACGGTAGAAACACTGAAAAACTAGCTTACTTTTGTTTGGCTTCAAAATTAAAACTATATTGCTTGTTCCGAGGCCAGAGTATGACTAACTTCAAAATGTCCTTCAGAGCTTCTTTTCCAGTTTCTTTCCCATTCACAGCTTAACGGTGACATCCAGATAACCGCATCGGACTGTTTAATACTTTGTAATCAAAGTTTGCTAATTTCACCTGTCTTCCCTTCAGTACGGGTGCCGATTTGGACCACTAAGGTTGACATTGACCAACCGTTACAACCCAGGAGTGCGCTGTTACCCCCCTTTTAGCAACGCCCAAAATGGAAAAGACCACAACAACTAGTCTGTTTTGTGACAAAGAAACTCCTTTTTATCTTTCTATATAGCGAGGGAGTTCTGGCTTGCTTTGTTTCTTTGTTTTTTTTAATTTTCGTTATCAAAAACTTGTGCAATTAATTTCATGTTTTGATTATTTTATGTTTACACACATGTGGCACACCTGTTTTTGCGATATGCCCATATTGGATACTCTTAGGCTTATGTATTATTAATGATACAAACTCAGACTCAATTTTCAATCTGTGAGAACTTGTGAGAACTGAATTACAGGGAAATACAACACACTTATTGTGTAATTAGATAGTATGCCACGTTTTTATTTTAGAAATTCAGGCTCTTTTTTATCCAAAGGCACTGCAGGGGGTGTTTGATTCAAAGATTGTTTTGTTCTTTGTTCTAAATTGCCTTTACATGTGTGTTTGTGTGTATTATCAGTGTATGATGCATTTGGAAAGATGGGTAGCAATGTTGAAGGAGGTAATGTCAACCAGCCTGGCTCGCTGCAGCGGTGTCACTCTGCCCACAGCCCCACCTTCTCTGGACAGTACTGCCAGGTGTTCCTTCGGCAGGTAACAACAAAACACTGTAATTGTAGAAGATGAAATGTCCTCCTGACAGCTGGTTACAAGGTGAGAAGATTTGATTTTGAGCAAAGTATTTTAACTACCATAGGAATCAGTCCAGTACTTTGTGGGTATTTGTGTTCCTGACTCCTGCAGGGAAGAGGATGTGGAAACGCTGGTGCTGTACGGTCAGTGATTTTAAAATTTTATTACTCTTGATTCTTTCAGTACAATATTTTTGTTTTAATGGTGACTAGTTTCACCTTTTTAACAGGGAGACTTCAGTTTGGTCAGACTTCCCTCATTCCTCCTTTACCTTCCATCCTGGTCAATCAATCCACGCAGGAGATGATCATGACCCACTGTTTGTCCAGAGCCATTGCCCCAGATGCATCAGATGTCGTCTGTCTGTCAGTATATGATTTTATCTGTAAACTCAACTGGAGAAGTGTCTCTTTAACATGTGCTGAACTTCATCTCAGGATACTCTGTTGTTTCCCCACTAACACTGATACCTTTTCTCCTGCAGGTTTGTGTGTTGCTTAATGATAGCAATTCCTCTTGCAGCTACCTTGTTCACCACCATAATAAGGTGGCATAGGAACAGGGAGGTCAGTCCATCTGTGGAGTCTTTCTGTTTAAACACTGGCCTCAATCTTTATGGGACCCTGAAGACCAATGGCTCCTCAAGCAGCGAAATGAAAAGCAGTACCAACGAGGAAAATGGTAAGTACAATGCACTATTTCAATTTCTCCAAGATGTCTGAAGAATTTACCAGATGACACCTCACATGCGGTAAGCTCTTCTGTGATTGAAAGATCAGTTGCCAAACCTTTTTTTATAGATTGTGTTTATATTGAGACATTGCTTTTTCAAATGTTGTCTTTGGTAGATAGCACCAGCCACACACCGCTGTGTTTTCCTCGAAGCTGTGTGAACCGGTGCCTGCAGGCATTTTCTCTACAGAATACAAGCCAAGGTGTCTTGACAACCTTCTCAGGAGGAGGTTACTCCTCCCTGAATGGTATCCGCTCTCTCAGCCTGTTATGGATCATATGTGGCCACTCTACACAGTTCTCTGTAATAAATAACTTGGGTATGACAAGACTTTCTGGTACTTTTTCATTCAGTCTGCAAGTCACTGCCATTATTTGTATATTATTTTGCTTATAATGCATTATCTCTACTGTAGATAACTACAAAGACTGGAAGAAAACAGTAGAAAGAAGCCCTCTTTATGTGTTTGCCATCAGTGGACCTGTTTTTCTGGCCGTAGACACCTTTTTACTGCTAGGGTGAGACTGAAACAGCATCAAATTTAAAGTGGTGGTGGATGTAACTGGTAAGGTTTGAGTTGCCAGTTTTAGCAGTTTTAATAGCAGCTTCTGTGTTTCAGGGGACTGCTCAGTGCCAAGACTCTGATGAGCTCCATCAGCAGGGCTGAGGACAAACTGAGCACCTGTTTGGTGGCCAACTATATCTTCAAGAGGATTAAAAGGTACAGTATTCATCAGTTCACCAAATATCTGCCTGTCACCTTGTCATTTTTTTTTCTTGGGAATAAAACTGAATTTAGAAGCCCTTCATTTTAAGTGTGATATCAAAACTAGTGACAATATAAATTATAATTTTCTCTTTCCTTTATTTCAGGGTTCAGCCACTGCATCTGTTCATTATGTGTCTAACCATTGGCCTCATCTCTTTGATCAAGTGGGGACCCTACTGGTTCCCACTTATAGAGACAATGATGGATTGTAAGACGTACTGGTGGGCTAACATACTACTGATTAACAATCTCCTCCCAGTCCATGAGATAGTAAGTTTAAACGGTAGTATAGCAGCTCTGAGTCTATTTTTCGCAAGTTGTATTTCTATGTATATTGACCTACTGTATTTCTTCACATCTTATTTCCCATTTTCTCTACAGTGCATTCCTTGGACATGGTACTTGTCTCTTGACTTCCAGTGTTATGCCACCACTCCTCTGTTGCTCTATTTTTACAGATTGTATGTCCATTGTTCTTTCATATTATTCCAAAATATTATTAAATTGCTGTATTGTAAACACAGGTAATCTTCCATCCTATTTTGTGTTTATCAGGAACAAAGGTATGTTTGCGGCGGTGGCAGGAGGCCTGCTGCTGATGACTACTGTCGCTGGTGTTGTTATAACTGCACTCATGCAGCTGCCAGTCTTTGAGCCATCTACAATGTAAGACTCAGTGACGGTGGGCCAGTGCTAATGCAAACAGCTTAGGAACCATTTCTTTAAAATTGAAAAAGGTTTTATTTATTTATTCATTTATTTTGCAGGACATCTTATAATTATGTTTTACATTACTATCTGAAACCTTACACAAGATATGGGCCATTTTTAATTGGGATCTTGACTGGAATACACTTGATGACAAAGAAAGATCAGCTCTTAAAGCGAAAGGTAAAAACGTCTGGTTAGGTAAGAACACCTGGTTACATTAACAGGCATTTCTGCTACAACATCACTACACACATCTTATTCTTTTCAGAGATTTGAAAACATAATTTTTGTGATAGCTAACCAGACCGAGTACACATACAAGCAAATAAGCTGCCATCACACTTATGTGCTTATTGATGTTATTCTCACTGTTGCTCCAGTGGCAGGCAGCACTTGGTTGGTTGTGCTGTCTTTTACTCATGGCTGTGTTGGTTGGATTGGCCTACGTCCTCAGGGAGACTCCATCCTATCCATCTGTGCCACATGCCCTCTATCAAGGACTGCACAGACCACTCTGGGCTTTATCTGTGACCTGGATCATACTCGCCTGTGAGGAGGGTTACGGAGGTAAACACAGACCAGATAGAGATGATCCAAAGTCCAAAAACCATGTTCAGAACAAACAAAATGCAATAAAAAATATTAAAAGAAAGAAAAGGAACAAATATTCAAGTATTTGTTTCTGTGGCATTCAAAACTCTTGACCATGTTGATCAGTGATTAACTACACACTATAAAACAAACTGAATGTAAATGGGTACAAATACAGTAGTAGCATTTATGGACATATGTGAGTAATCTTATACATGAAAGCAAAATGATATATTTTTTAAAAAAAAAACGTTTCTCTCTGTTCTTCTGATTCTCTAGGTTTTATTAAGAGCTTCCTGTCATGGGGTCTCTGGGTTCCACTCTCCAACATTAGTTTTGCATGCTATCTGTCACATCCTGTCTTCATCATCCTCTACATTGGCTTGCAAGAGACCCCAATCCACTACACAGACTTAAACTTCGTAAGTGCTTTAAGCAGTAAACATTTCATTCAGTGTCATCAAGCATACTGCATTTCAGATTTTACCATGATTTGGCTCTGTGCTCTTTTAATTTAGTCTACTGTTTGTCTCCTCTCGTCTTTAGATGTACCTTTTCCTTGGCCACCTGGTACTGACGCTGGTGGTGAGCTACGTGTTGACTGTGCTGGTTGAGAAGCCCTACCTCCTTCTAAAATGCGGCCGTACATAGATGGAAGTCAGAACACAACAGAAAACCTACCATCTCTATATTGTTTGTTTGTGCCTTGTAAGCTCTGCCAGTGTCATTATTTAAATCTGCTTTTACAGACAATAAACCTATTTGTTTCTTTAAAAGAAGTTCAGCAGTTAACAGATGTTTGATATAGAAAAAACGTCCTGCAGAACAAAAAAGGTGAAATCAACTTTCATCAACCTACAATTATAATGGTTAAAATATACTGAAAATATATTTGAATTTTCAATCAAACAAATCCAGAACAAATAACACTAACCAATTAGGAATGAAGAGTTGTAGGGAAAAAGGTCCATATTTGGTGAAACTGAATCTGTTTCAGATTGGTGGTTTCGAAGATATAGCGGTTTGTCATCTGCATATAAAGATATTGTGTGTCGTCTTAGATATACTGTGCCCTCATCACTGAATTACTGCTGATGGAGAAACTGGTTTGTTTTATATGTTCCACATACAGTACTGTATAAAATCTGGTAGCACTAGTGTTATGAGAAAAGCTTTGAATGTACCTGAAGTATCTGTGGATTCATCACTATCAACGACCCCTTAAATAAACGTGAGCTATTCAACGGTGAAAATTCAACGGTGTCACATTATTAAGGAGAAGTTCCCTAATTCCTTTTATTTTATTCATTTTCATTTATCAAATATGAATTAATTCCTATTCAGAATGAACTGTGGTTTCCTACTGTATAAGCATGATATAATTTATTGTCTCTTCAAATCATTTAATTTTGATTTAGAAGCTATGAAAACAAGAAAGGACTAAAATCACAGCAAAATGTTTAAAGCATTGCTCTTGAGGAGTACAGGGTGACTGGCTTCCTAGCCAGTCACAAAGTTCATCTTATTCCCCTGCCATCTTTCCACTCCTTTTAACAGCTCTACTATAGGACAACACTATATTTTCACTGCACTTTCCATGGCAATGAGTCAGGATTTACATGCAGCACTGATTCAGCTGATGAGATCATGACAAAGGTTTTTAGTTTCTTATGACGCAAAGACACGCAGCTACGTTTCCATCCCAGGGACTTGAGTCATGCAGGACACGTGCTCTGTTTTTCATAGTACTAAGTTGAGTAATGCTAGTTAAATAGCCTCGAAGAAATGCTTTGATCCCTCTCCTGCTCTTCATCTCTGCCACTTACACAGAAACACACTCCCTAGGTGGTGATTTTTCAATTTATTTTATCCTTGAATATTTACCCACAATTTCAATGTGTGTATTTGAACCATGGTTTATTTTATAGTTTAGGATAAACTAGGCTACCATGTGCTCAGTGCTATAAGATAAATGCCAAATATGGGTTGCTATTTCTTTCATAAGACTTTGGCATAGTGAAGACATATCCCATAGCTTTCATTTGCCTGCTATGCCATTCCTGCCTTAATTGGGTCTGGAAAAGCATCCTTTAGATGACTCTCTCGCACGCCCACATTAAACAAAACGTGGCTATGACGCACACTTCTTCCATGTGTAGCACCATTCTCCACCTGGTCCTGTCTGGGTTGGAGGGTGGGGGGCGTGGGGGGGGCTTTAAGGAAGGAGGGCAGACGCCAAGCCGAGGCAGACTGTGCAACAACATGGTGTAAAAATATATCTTGCTTTGGTAAGATGATACTTCTTTCTCCATGACTACAAGAGTCCACGGGGGCCACATCCAATCCAAAACATCACAACAACATGCTCAAGATGGTGTAACACGTCTGGGAGCATTTTCAAATGTTTAACTGAAAATTATTCAGTTGCTGTTTGAGAAAGATGAAATGCAGCATTCTTACAGTTAAAGAAATACTGAAATTGTTTAGTAAACTGCCATGTGTGCTTTATATGATTTAATTCCATATTTCTACCTGTATTTAAAAGATACAACAAATATGATTATACCCCACCTCTGAATACAGCAGTTGGTTATTTTTCAATTTGATGCAATGAATCTCTTTACACATTACTTGTTGCCTAACAGTCCCCCAACCAACATCAGCTGTTCCGTGCAGAGACATTAAATGTGCTGCTTCTGAGAAGCCACAGAACTATTCACATGCACACACACACACACACACACACACACACACACACACACACACACACAAGGACACAACACAATCTTTGAACGAATGAAAGTCCCATCCAACTGCTTCTTGGTCAATCAGTTGACATGTGACAGACAATACACATATTTTAGTTACATTGCTCCCCTTTATTTATTTATACAAAGTAGTTTCAATAGAATAAATCTGCCCTGAAATATGTTTGTTCAAAATAAAATAAAACATATTGAGATCTCCTATCTCAGCGCAAATGAAAATATAGCAACTCCCACACACATGCAATAGTCCAATAATATTCCCCCTGTTGCTTAGTAGATTTACAAGGCACCAGAAGAACAGGTGTGTGGATGTTAAGTGTTACATAATGGCTCAAAAAGAGTAAAAGGACATGACATCATTTTAATCGTTTGTGGCCTCATCTTTTTCTGTTTATTGTACTTGTAATGACAAATTAAACCCTTTATAGTGTGTGTGTGTGTGTGTGTGTGTTAGTGTACATCTGGGGGGTTTCATTCATTTCTCACACACAAACACACACACACACACACACACACACACACACACACACACACACAAGGACACAAACACTAACAATGACTAACAGTGACTTCACATGTCGCTTTGCCAAAGCAGTTGTAAGGGTATCAGTGTTTAGTAGCTAAAAATAGTCATAAACAGTCTATTTTATTCATTTACTTTTAAAAGGTCAGACTTGGGGCATTACTGTTTTATTGGAGGGTCTCTGTTGTTAAACCACTATTTACAATGTGCTGATTTTAAAGCAGGAAAAGAATCTGTTCCTCTCACCTGTCACAGGAACAATGATGTAACAGCCATAAATTACTTGGTTATAAAACCGTCCTTCACTATCGTTATGAAAGAACATAAGCAGTTTGCTGATTGCAGTTTACTGAAAGATATAAAGGGAATTCACGCAATATGGTTAGTACATAGAAAATAAGTATGCAGCAGTGTTAGATCCAACCAAAAGAAAATGTTGTCTCATAAAGGTGACACTGCACAACGATGAGGACTTGGAAAGGCCTGGAGATGGTGAAAGCCTGGTCTTGGGAAAACATGAGATCAGCAAGCACAAAAGAAGGCCTGCTACAAGAGAAGAAAGATTTTGTAGGGCGCGAAGTTAGAGACAGTGATGCACAGGAGCATTGTAACAGGAATGAGGCACTCAAGCAGCAGGATAATTAGAGCGTAGCCTCAAGGAGAGCACGAATGAAGTAATTAGGGGAGAGAGAAGGAGATGGCCATGGCTGGTCCTGAGAAAGTCCCTCAATGAATTAAACTTCCCGAGACTTCCCAAGAAGAATGATCATCGTGCAAATGTGTAACTATGTGTAACTGGAACGAGTTGTGTTTAATAAAGGAGATAAGAGGAACAGATGATAGGGTTACCTCAGGGGAAAGCCAGTGTTTACCCAACTCTATCAGCCTATTGCCTTTTTCAATGTTTGCAGGTTGGTGAACAATTAAAGGGATTTTTTTGACATTTTGGAAAATATACTTATTTGCTTCCTTATTCCTTATTCCTTCCTTATAGCTCGAACCAGCAGCTGGTTAGCTTAGTTTAGCAGAGAGACTGGGAGCAAACAGCTAACATGGGTAAAAGACATGAGCTATAATGTGTTAATAGTGAGCTTTAAAGGTCCTGTTATGTAGATTTGGGTAGGCCAGCTGTTCTCCCCTGTCTCAAGTCTTTATACTAAGCTTAGCTAACTGTCTCCTGTAGTTTTATATTTAGCAGACAGATGTGAAAGTGGTATCCGTCTTGTAATCTACCTAAGCTAAGCTAATAAGCCTTTCCCAAAATTGCAAGCTATTTTTTCTAAATCCAGTGTTACACCTTTTCTAATAAAGAACGTATCTATGGACACTTGAAGCTTGGCAAATAAAAGGAACATTGTCTTATGCTTTAAAATAACAGAAATCCACGCCATCGTGACTATCATTATCTTTCCGACTAAATTATAATCACTGTTCAAATTATTGGAAACTGGTCTGCCATCAGGGATTAGCTTGTGTTCACTACTTGTTAAATGATTAATTTGGCTAAATGAGAGGCAAAGTCACATTTAATCACTGTCACACCAGACTGAGCTAATTGACAACTAATCATTTCCATAAAAGCAAGGAAAGGTCTGGCCTCATTAGGTTGTTTTGGCCTCTGACAACAGTCCATTGTTGCTCCGCCAGGGTAGTTAGAGGGGTATAAATGTTGCCAGAAATGTGACCCACAGTGTCACGGGTGACCTGTAAACACACGTATTCATACATTGTATTGATATAAAAGAATGTTTTTTAAATTAATTTTTTTTCCAACTCTAATCTTATTTTTCAACTCCAAACAGCAATATTGACGTACATTATACATTACACACATTATATTACATATGTTATATTTGATCAAATGGTTCACTTTTTCGAAAGTTAGCTCCGTGAGCCAAATGTTTAAAACTTAAAATGAATTATTGAATGATTAATATTCAGAAGTGGTCTGAATACTATCAAGACAATTGGATTAGATTATTCATTTGGAAATAAATCTGTGCCAAAAAAGAACAAACACTGTTAAATACAGTATGGGCTGCTCCTTCTCTCACACTCTTTGTTTAATTGTGGAAAAATTACTGTTGAAACTTTAACTATTTTCGCAATGTGTTCTTGGCGAAAGTTTCTGATAATTGTTCCCAAAAATCAAACAAGCCACTTCCATCTATAAAGTTTCTATAACAACCAAGAAAGTCAGTCTGTAAAGTAGGCCATCACTGAAACAGCCTGTAAATATAGATATCGAGTGTTAAATGTTCAAGATCGGCACATGCCCGCAATATCAGGTAACTGACTTTGTACTTGCGGGGGACAACAGTTAAATATAGACTCACACCCCGAGACCGCCAGCTCTGCCTGAGCTCATACTGAGGTCCTACATCATAGG